ACTGTTTTTGAGCTTCTGGGATGTCCTTCCCCAAGCCCCCATCTCAACCGTACTGAAAATTTATGAACTATTCTTTAAAGCCGGGACTTTGCCAGGAAAACAAACCAATGAACTCTACTGATTCTGCCAAGATGAGTGGTCAAATAAACAAAAGTGTCTGGTCAATGTCCAATCTACTAAGAGACATTAAATTAGCATGACATTCATGCCCATGATGAGTGAATGTAAACCTTTGACTACAACTGTTTTCTATTTCTAATTTCTATGTTGACCCATAGCTCTTGACTCCCTGACTCACACAGTCAGTTGAAGTTGATGAATGAAAGTAGCTGACAGTCACCGAACAAAGTTAGTCTTAACCCCAGAATCATGCAGCACTTCCCAGACATAAAGGCAGCCATGAAAAATGAAAGCCTAAATGTTCCCATTCTAGATGTTGACCAGGACAAACATAGAGAACATTTCTTTCAAGTGTCCCGGAGGTGCTTCCAAACGAAAAAAGAAACAGAGAAAAATTTCCAAAAGAGGCAAAACACTCGTAACCGCTGGTAATATGTTTCTCATGGTGATGCATTCATAGCAGCGAGGGAGGCAAATGCCTTTGGTTAAGCGGAGCTATTTATTCTGTCCCTGGAAACAGCTGAAGAACAACAAAAGTATTCTCAACAAAGAGTAGCACGACCTGATGCTGCTGCCTGTTTTCCTCCCGTCTGCGGTGACTGTCCTTCTACAAAATGGGGGCACTACTGGCACACATCATACTCAAAAAGCCACACAATAGGCACGTTCAACTCAAAGAGAACTTTTCAACTGTAAAGCTGGAGAAGAAACACTGCTAAGTTGATCCTTCAGGCTCAGTTTCAGTGTGGGTAAGCACTTGGAAAGAAACAAAAACATTGCCAATTCTGTTGTTTGGATTTGCAGGGCCCGGTGCGCATGAATGCCCACTCACATGTACTTAGACTGTAGTTATACACACACACACGCACTCACGAGAGTACCCACAATGAACTCTGTCCTCTGACTCACTACGAGTTGGGAGGAAGTCCAGATTTCAAACTGTCCGGGAACAGACTCTGGTGGTCTGGATCTTTTTGAGCTTTTGATTTTCAACCAACAGCACTCTCTGCATTTACTATGGTCCTTGATCAGCAAGGTACTGTACATTCAGCACACAAATACAATACATACAAATTATTTGGTTATATTTCATGTCAAACATGGCTCTCTTTCAAGCAAGACTTTAGTGATACTTCCAGCCATCATGCATAAAGCTAAGACATTTCTCAAATATTATCAAAAAAGTAAAAAATAGTTGTCTTTTCTTTCAGTACCAAAGAAAATCACCATAGACATATACTATCACACAGACAATAGGTTAGAGATTCTGGCTATGATCAAGCTTTTCAAACTGGAGACATTTTTTCATTCATATTAAAGACTTTGGGAGCAGCCACTGGCATTTTAAGGCTAATTTTGTTTGTTTTGGTTTGGCTTTCTTTATGACTGGTAACTTTTATGAGTTCTGTGGGTGTTGCAAAAGAGTTTGAGGGTAAAAGAGAAGAAAATGTGTCCTCTTCTGGAACTTGGTGACATTTTAGTTGAACTTACCGCCTCCAGGAATATTTTCAGGGTTTCCACAGCAATCAATTAGTCAAAAAGTCAGCTGTCATATCTTTTTATGCAACCGACACATTCTATCCCCCTCTCGTTTTCCATCTCTTCTGGCTTTTTGTGTTACGCAACTCTTTTGCACAAAGGTATGGAGCGTATTTGTAAGTTGCCCTTGTGCTCAACATTGTCATTTATGCGTTTCGTTTTTTTATTGTATAAAGCTTCCGGCCAAATAAGTGTATAAAAAAAGTGCCTGGAAACAATAGGTGGAGGCCAGACAGGCCATGGAAAACTGCTTAGAGAACAATGTGATCTGGAGAGCTGGTAATAAAGTCCCAGTAGTGCACAAAAGCAAAAACAGGTTCCCAGACTCACCTAGGCCTCCTACTGACCTCATGGACCTATTTGTAGTGGTTTTGTAGTCCTGTCAAGACAGAACAAAACCTACACTTACATGGTAGAACAGATTGTTTCAGCCCTTCAGAAGGATCAGGTGCAAAGAAACTAAGTTTGAAAGTCTTTACATTTGCCATTTTATCTGTGCAGGAGTGTCAGTCTTCTTAGTCCATCATTTATGACTGGTGAAGGACATTCAATGACTGAATGCTTAGAGCACAGAACTTATTCTTGGTTGGTATTTTTACTAACCGAGTCCCTGGTCTGGCTCCTGTACCGGTGCCATGTGTCAGACTGTCAGCCCCAGTCTGTTCTACTTTCTAATTTGCCGCCTCTGCTGCATCTAAATTAAGGAAAAATTGCATAAAATTAATTTCTTTAAGTCATTACACTGACTGTCTGCACGACAGTTAAGCCCCCGGTGCTTTGATTATTGAGAACCTCTGACTATAGTAATAATATTGATCATTTTTTCTATCCCTATCCTATGGTTTATGAACAGTTCTAAAAGTGGAGAAGCTGCTGAGTGCTAATAGCATGTTTTGTGCTGATATCCCCAAATAAATTACACAGTACTTTTTATCACAGCCATCTAAGTCTTTATGGTGTTAAAGACAACATCTTCATGATAATGACATTTAGCTAAGTGGATAATTTTCTCAGTGTTTACTTAAGTTCCTTTAAATCATATTTTAGTACAAAAGCCATGACTAGGGATAGGATTTAGGAAGCAGTATTAGGGTAGCAATAAATAACTCGCTAATTTAATCGTTGTAAGTGATGGAAATGTGTAACAGCAGCCTAAGAGTAATAAAATTGTGTTCCTTTGTCTGAATGAACTTGGATCTTTGTGTTCTTAAGAATACAATAGTAAACTATATGAGAGGTTTGACTTTTATTAATTATCTGGAATTCTAACACAATGCATGAACTTGTGTGGTTGGAAAACAGAAGACCAAATGACACTATCAATATTATTGCAGCTGCAGTGTACCAAAAAGGTACAGTGAGTCACCCCATAAAGACGCCGAAGGTGCTGAGAGCCATTCCTGCAAGAACAGTCATACAGCAAATGTGCAATATTATGTAGTTTGGACTTGTTCAGTCTGCAGAGAATCTGCTCAGTAATTTAAAAAAATACTAAAGTGTAGCTAAGCCTTTGCAGTACAGAAAACTGATTTTGTGCTGTAAGATCTTTAGTTGCTGTTGTTGTAGCTGTCTTTTCCTGACAATATCATCAACCTGTTTTTCTCTGCCTGCATCCAGAGGACACCAAGTCCTAGAACAGCTGAAAAAGCATCTCCGGTATCCTCAAGAAAACTCTACTACAGCTCGAGAAGAAACACAAAATTCCTGAATACTTGTTTCCTGCCAAACTAAAGTACACTTATTTGTTCACATGTTTGCTTTAGATAAAGGAGCAAAGTCATAAGCTCAGTCTCACTGCGATTCTAGCTTTGAAACAGCAGAGTTAAATTCACTGGATGTGTAAACACAGCAAGATATCTGGGGCTCTTACGCAAGTTCACTTTCACCCCTGGTTATACAGGACACGCTGGGAAATATCAAATTAAATGAGTTTTTCTAAGAAGAAGAAAAAAAGAGACAAAGACAAATAAAGAGTTCTATTATTACCCTGGGCTGTTGAAGCCCCCCGCTCCCCCTTTATACAACGAAAGCATGTGAATAGAGAACATGATGTTCCTCAACCCAGAGTGGTGGACGATGTTTGTAGTCAGGCTGCTCACGTTGCCAAAAGGATGTCTTAGACTTTGTCTTGGCAAGTCAAACTAAATTGGTCAAAAGTAACTAAGTACATTTATCAATCACTAAAATAAAAAATGTGGTTTAAATAGAACTTCATACTTCCACCACACTGCAGCCAGTTGCCACAATTAACAGAAAGCATAATCAAAAGTCATTATTATACATCAAGACTTGGATTTCCAAGATATTCTACCAAAGATCAACAAAATTATACCACCTTTACCTTAAAAAATTCACAAGTGCACTCAGTAACTATATGATTAACAGGCTATTTTACATAAAGTACTCGTTATTTTGATGTCAATACTTTTTTACTTTGAGTACGATTTTAAAAAGGATGACTTCTATATATCACAGATATTTGCTTCAGATAAAGTTAAACAAAATCTTTCAAAATGGGTCAGGACACAAGTGGATACTTCTTTTTGGACTCATTATAGAATAACATCCTTTAAATCATCATGGTTGTGTTTAAGAAGGGGCCAGTTAAAACATGTTTTCAGTTCATCAGTGCACTAGCAGATACATTTCCTTATGCCAGGTAGCATCATTGGTCAGAAAGTACTATAATAAAACCAGCTGTCCAAATATTTAGTCAAAAGCAACTTTAGGTGTCTTTATTAGCTCTAGAGTGATCAAATCAATTCTCCTTTTTTATGAACCATCTCAGCTGCATATACTACCCAATAGTGCCACCTAGAGGAGGTTTAAAGTAAAAAAAAAAATTATACATAAAGTTTGAGATTTTATGTAAAGTGTTTCTAAAAACTTTAAAGTCCATACATTAAGTTTGGCATGATTGGGAGAAAAAAAAATAAATAAATAAGTCAAACTGTATTTCTAAATACACATTTAAAAAAGTAACTTTTGTATGTAGCACTTTATAATAATTTCACTCTATTAGAGCATTATTACGGTATTAGCAAATGGTTAATTCATCATTTATATAGCATTATTCCCTTTTGTTATGCCATTCATTAAGATGTATTATGACTGATATGATTATACTAGCAGTGATGTAGCAGCAGTGATAGCTATAGCTGTATATCGTGTAACAGTAACAGATGGATAAACATACATAAATAGCATATTAAGGATGAGTAATGATATATAAATGATGACCTAAGCACTTACTAACAAACTTAATAAAGTGCTACCTTTTTGTTTTTGCTCTACTGCTGCAGCAAAAAGTAAGATAAGCAAAAATCAAGCCAAACACCACATTTTAAAGCCTTTCCCACTTTATTGTTCATGTGATGCTTAATCCTTTCTGACAAGATCATGTCTGCTGTATGTGGTTCTTACTGCTTTCTAACTGTGTCAAATCAAAAAAAACTGAGCATAAATGAAAACATAATACAGGACCCAAAATCAAAAGTGAGACTGATAATGTGCAATGATTTCAGTGCAACATTTCTACAGAAAATCCACCTACTAGGACACCTATAGATTCCCCTGTTGTCACGTAGATCGTCAGAGAGAACAGAGACAAAACATATCAATGGCTCAAATGGATGAAAAAGTCTTTTCATTTGCAAAGAACTGGTTAACATTCCCTTCAGAGCTATAGAGCTCTGTGTGAGGTTAGTATGCATTTTCTTTCTTATTAAACCAAATAGATGAGCTGTGCAGTGCACAAGGTTTTGACTGAGAAATGATTCTGAAAAGCAAAGAAAATTTGAATATAACAATTCGAAGACATACAAGAAAATCAGAAAACAAGTCTGTCATCCCCTAAATCCATCAGCAGCAGATATGAACTTTAAACATGGTGTATATGGTACATAAGTTGCAGTGCAATAAAGGGAGAAAAAAAATAAAAAAAATAAAAACAAAACAACAAATGCATAAATAACATTTAACTAAATAAAACAGATAAAATAAAAAGGCCCGACTAAAAGAAGACAACAGATTAGAATCAAGGCTATTAAGGAATGAATAAATAGTTATGTTTGAATACATATTCCAGATACCAATTCTAGTGGGAAGTTTAAAACACAAGACACGATGACGAGTGACTAAGTAAATAGTATGTAGTAGTTATGTAGCTATGGTAACAAGTAGGTGGAAACTGCATCACACAAAAAAATATCACTATTCACCACCACACAAATTCAACAGATTAGAGGCATGAACAGAGGAAGAGGATTTGTTCAGTCTTCAGCTCCGCCGTCCAGGATGCTTTCAAAGTTGAAAGGTAGGAACTTAAAGCCGTTGCCTGAGTAAAACTTGTTTTGGAACTCCACCCTACGATTAAAGAAATCAATAAAAATCAGTCTGAAAAAAAGACATATCGTTAGCTTCATAGCATAAGTGCCTAAGTCATTTTTTTGTGATGACATAGGCAGACGGACAGGATGATGCAGGAGTGGTAAAGTTAAGTTAGGCAAAAATCTCAATTTGACCAAAAAATGACTTAGGCACTTATGCTATGAAGCTAACGATATATACTTTCATACAATAACCTTGTCGTGCATATAGTGACGATAGTTGGCAGCTTGGTTAATGCTGAGCAGAGCAGTAGCGGCTGATGACCCCTGCTCTTCATTCCACAGTCTGCACACACCTGCATAAGCTCATGTCTACATCCTGGGACAGACACCTAAGCCTCTTCCCTTCAGGAAAATGATCAGGGTCTATTTTTAAAAAAGGCCAATGCTAAGTGATGGCTGGATGACCTTTTAGCTGAGCTGCCATGGATAGCATTCATTCCAAAGCCCGTCTGGTGTGGCAAGAAGAAATATGTAGTATTACATATTGCACATTGTGCAGATCAGTTTTGTCAGTTTGATGTTCAGTAATTACACGGTTTCCAGATATCACTGGAAATAAAAATATATTTTGATTGGGGGAGGGGTCGTTTAGTTTCCCTCGCTTAAAATGTAAACAGACTGATCATGAAGACAATTTGTGAAAGCACGCTCAGCCAGCATTCCTGTGGAAAGGACAATTTCGTGAAGGCCGGCTGCAACACAGACGTGCTCTGTGAATGTGCCGGTGAACTATAAAACCAGCGTGACATTCAGCAAAGCCAGACAAAGACATTTATGAGGAGGCAACAAAGGCTCATCGGTGCAGAGCCACAGACTGTTATGCATGCCACACATAGAGCATAAATGAACAGCACCACACTGACAAGAGCAGACTTATTCCAGGACAGAGGCCAGGAGAGATGATTGGAAAACCAGTTTGTTAACTTGAGCACCTGGGATGGTCACTGAGACATTAATTGTAGCCTGCAGGTGGAGCTAGAGCTTTGCTTTTGTAGCAATGACAGTAATTTGCCTTAAGGAGTCCTATCCTTCAACACTAACAAGTTTTCACAAAGGTATTAGTGTATGTTTAATATCAAACCCAAGCAAATACATATACAAATCATAAAAAACAACATTAAAACTAAACTTACCAATGCAGTCGCAATGCGTGCAGAAACGCTGACAGCCCTTCCATAATGAGAAGAATAACAACTGTGAGAACAGCGAAGACGTAAAATACTATGGCCAGAAGGATGAAGCCTCCAAGGCTGCGAGAATAAAGGCCTATGCGCATCACCATGGACCACAGCACCTCTGACAGCTCTGTGAATAAGAAAGCACATACACACCAACTTTACTATTCTGATTCCTTTGAGAGTCAAAGCATTTAGGTGTTAATACAGTGAGCCATTTCTCTTACTAAATAACTGAATACTGCAGGTGAAGCGACTTACGTGCATGAGCCAGACTGAGGGCCCAAAGCCTCAGATAGGAAGCAGTGTTGGAGATACAACCCAGGCAATACTCTATGGTGTGAATGGCCTGATGCACTGCTACATCCGCAAAGTTAAACTGTGGGTAAAAGTTAGTGGTTTCATTTACTCAGCATAAAAAAAAAAGAAGTAGAAAACAACATCTCTACAACAGGTCCTGAGGTCCACAGAGGAGAAGTCAGCTTTAATGTGTCACCAATGATTGAGGGAATTGACAGAAAAGCCATTTTTTGTTGTAGATCATCAACCCCGAAAATAAGAAGAGGTATCATCATCATAAGAACCTGTGAACCCAAAGAGTCAGCTGCCCTCCTGATGCCTCATGCACATCACCAAGACCATAGGGAAGCACTGGCCTACTGGCACCCGCCACATGACGAATCCCTGCCCATTTTCAATAGAATACATTTAGAAGTCCCTGACCGGACCATACAATGACAAACATTCAGACGCAACTAGTAGCAGCAGGCAATGGTTGACAACAAAGCAGGGGCAGTAAAGGAAAGACTTTGAAGACATGTATATTAACATGAGGGGATAGGGTGCAGGTGGATGTGCAGCATGAGCTCCTGTCCTACCTCTTCCTCCTCACAGGCCTTGAAAGCAGGTGACAAAAGGCAACGCTTGGTTATTGACATCACACACACGGACAGGCAAACGTCAATAAACAGGAAAGTAACAAGAGAAACCAGTTAATTATTTAAAAGGAGAATCGAGTGAAACCAACATTAGCGAATGAGCACACTGTGCTTTCAGATCATCTTAAAATAAAACGAGTAATCAGATTACATAAGTAAAATTATGAAGTCCAGGTAAAATAACTCACTACTCGCCATCTGTTCATGGTTGTGTTAAATCTGTGCAGGAATTACAAGAAAATGGATCCATAATGTCTGTATTCATTATTGATGTTGACAGTAAGGGTGGAAATGGAAAAACAAGGCATCAAGTTTCTGTCTCCAACTAAGGTTGAAAGACTAAATTATTCAAAGATGTGAAAAGATCCTTTAACTTGTGCTTCTCCCGAGTTACTCCAGCAAGCTGCTGTCCTGTTGTTACTTATGCTCTGTATGCAATTATTGTAATACAAAAAGACATTAACTTTTGATGTTTGACTTCAGTGTTATTGTGGGAACACATCTTTTACCTCAGGTTCATCCTCAGATTGCTGTGCGAGCTGGTCATGCTGGATGATTTCAGCCTCATCCTCAGTGGGCCCATTGCCCACCCTGATTCCTCCAAAGTTCTGTGTACCCTGTAACACAGTGAAACTTAATGAGGTAATCTATTTAAATCTATTATAAAAGTATATTGAGTGACTGTGAGCGCGGACTGTTTTATCTTACCAGATGCTTCCGCCACAAATACTGTCTTCGCATAACCAGAGTTTTTACTATTAACATACAGGGGACACATGCCAAGGCGATTACCACCAAAAGGGATTGTATGGCCATCTACAAAAAAGGTGGAAAGTAAGTACAAGAGAAAAAAAAAATAAGGACAGTTAGATGGATCTCTTCATTCATGACAAAAAGAAAGTTGCAAGTATGCTGATCTCACCTGTCCTCTGTAGAATAGTTTATTATTGGGGTCATTGTAATTGAACAGGAACATGTTAATAAAGGCAATAAGGAGACTGGGAGCATCCCTGGAAGTGTGTGCACCATAGGAGACCCACTTATAAAAGATCAGAATGACTAGGTAGCCAAACAGGCTGGCCATGAAGATAATCTCTGGAATGAAACCCAAGTAAATATTCAGGGGCTTGTTGAAATACCTGAGGAAAACCACAAAAAGAATATTAGAAGTCCACAAATTCAAAAAGAAAAACATAAGAATCAATGCATAATTATACATAGGTATGGAAATCTCACAGGTGGTTGAAGAGACTTAGCGTGACTCCAAACAGCATGTGAATTACCCCCAGGATAACAGACATCTTCATCTTGAAGGAGTTGAGGAATGACAGCTTGTTGACAGAAATGCTCCATATCTGAGACATAATGCAATTATGAATTATAAACTATGCGAGTATTCAGGTTAGTTTATGTCTGCCAATGACTGCTGACTTTTGTGGATTTTTTTTGTAACTGACAGACAAAATAGCTGGCATAGATGTATAAATATGGAGCTCCAAAAGATTAAAAACAAAATGATTTACTGGATCAATGCCAATGGGGTACGGCCCATTGAAGACTCCATCAACTGCTGGGTCCAACTGCAAAACTGTACTGCTATTAAGTGTACCATCCCTGAACAGAATGAGGACAGAGATCAGATTTTTGAGCTTACATACTGAACAAAAAAAGAAGTCCCTGTGTTAAAGCTCTTGTCAATTATTACCAGTGACACTTACGTCCAGTTGCCTCCAGCTCTGGAATTGAACATTGGTCTGACACTCCATCCAGACCCAAACACATTTAGGGACTTTGAGAAGCAGTCATTGTAAATAATGCCAGTGTACATTGAGAAGACTCCCATCAGCAGAATTATGTAGCGCCCCCCAAACATCATGTTGAATATCTGTCACAAAAAGATATTGAACTTTCATAAGGAAACTGTGAAAATAAAATGCACGATGTCCTGTGGAATCGGTGCTTGTGTGTCATCGACAAGGGATGATTTAGGACTAATAAGATGGTAATGATGGGATCCATACCTCATTATCATTCTTCTGCGCCATCAGTCTGCTTTCTCTTAACACAAGGTATAGAGCAGCACAGGTCATGAGTGTCCCATGGCCCAGATCACCAAACATAACCGCAAATAGGAAGGGGAACGTAATGATGGTGTATGGTGCTGGAGACAAGGAGGCAGGCATCATACAAGGGTGGAGGGTGGTGTAGTATGTCAATAAAGAAATGAATGAAACATGCACAATGTTCCAACATGGTGATAATGGTTGATGAGGCAGCTGAAGTAAAAGCCTTTTAATTGTCTGTAACTCAATACTTAAGGCAGCTGAGTAAACAGATTATAGAAACCTACTGCCACATTATACAAAAAGGTCCACACAAACCAGCTGGGCATTAACACACAGAATTCATAGTTTGCTTACCTGGGTTAATCTCACGGTAGCTGCCAATTCCATAAGCGTCCACAATGTTTTGGAAGCCTGAGGTGAACTTGTTTGTCTTGTTGTAGGTTGGAGGGGTCTGTTTGGTCTGCATTCTATTGAGGATTGAAGGCACAGTAGAGCCGCTCTTCTCCTAAAACCAAAAAATAAATAAATATGAATGTCATGCAACAAAAGTCCTAACTTTAGATCATCAAGCCTGGAACAATGCAAAACTAGCTATTCCAAGAATCGGATCATGTGCTGAGAGCCATAACGAGTTCTTGTTATTGTTACACCACATGTAGAACTAGACAATATAGCAAAAAGGACTCAACCATAAAACAAACAAAAAAAAAAAACCCAAAACATTTAGTAGAAACTGATTTTTTTCAAACATGAAATCATCTTCCTTGTAAAAACCTGACTGGCTAGTTTACACCAAATATAAACTGCTCCTCTGTTACTCACCGTCCCCCTACGCAGGGCAAACTGAATGGAGTCCAGGTCTGAGATGGGACACCACACCTCAGCAATCAGACACTTCTGAGTGACATCGATGTTGCACAGGTTGAGGGTGTGGTAGATGGCCTTCATCTTCCTCACCTTGATAAACCAAACTCTTATTGTCTTGGCTGCAGCCTGCAGGACCCTCTGCCTGTGGTCCTCAGTCTGGTTAAGCACCTTTAATGACAAACAAGAGCAGTGATGGCCACAGTAGCAATACATTTTTTTTTGACATGATCAGTGAGATCATGAAGAATTCTTTTGGCCACATAAATAAATAAATCTATGAATGTCAATGAGACTCTCTAAAAACAAGTCACACAGAAAGCCAACAGCCATTCCTGCCATCATGTTTCAGCAGAAACTGCATCAGTGTAATGCTGGTGCCTTTCTCCAAATCAGACCCATTATTAAAACTTCTGAATATAATTGTTAGAAACTGTCATGTTCTTCACTGACATTTACCATTCATAAAAATACAATAACAGGTGTGTGAAATATAATACCTTGCAACTAGACAGTGTAAATGTGCGTATGGTTTTGTACAGTAAAGGTTACACACATCTCTGCACCTCAATACACTTTTATTTTCATTTAGTTTCAAGTTCGAATGCAATCATTTTACTAAAACCAAGGACACGGTTAATGAAACTACTGATTCATTTTAATAATTTTTTTCAAGTTTCTATATCTATCACAATATTACTATAATTTTTTTTGATGACCTTGAAGGTAAAAATCTAACATTAGGGCTGTGTAATATTAAACAGAATCGAAAGAAAACAAAAATAGTATAAATGAATCAGACGTTCCTTTTACTGGCATAAATGGTGAGCAAAAAAGGTCATGCTAAAGAGCAACAGGGTGTCTAATCCATTAAGGGATTCCCATAAGGGAGACAGAATATTCACAGGTATGTTGCTCTATGACTGAGATTAAAAGCCCAGCCCATGACTAGCAAAGAGAAGGCTCATATCTATCTCTGTTGTCTCCCACACCCAAATTCTTGCCTGCTATTGAGACAACACTGACATGCCGTTCTGTTACGTGGATCTCATGCCCAAGTAGCAACAAGCATAATCCACAAACACAGAGATTCACATTCCCCCAGCATGCAGAGGAGCAAAGAAGTATCCATTGATTTGTCATGCACAGGGCATGTTGAGTATCAAGCAACTGTCTTGTGCAAGTTTTTTTTTTTTTTAACTTCCTGTGGTTTAAACTGTCATTGTTTCATCAATATCCGAGTACATGACAAATGAACTGTGCTGACACATCAGGTTGACAGAGTGAAGTAGCATGTGGGACCTGAGTGATACCAGAGTCTGTGTAACATGATGTAAAATCCCCATAGCACTGCATGTACAGTGGGTAAAATAAGTATTAAAAATAAACATAAAATAGTGTAATAATTAAAAAAAATAACACAGGGAAAAATAAAAGTATTGAACATGCTTGAACTGAGATTTGTTGAATATTTCATATCAAGAAACTGGTCACATGAATTGCTCAGGTAGGATTTTATCAAAAAAGTCTCTGTACATTTTCCCATTAATCCTTCCTTTAATAATATAAACTTCGCTGTTAGTATGGTGTTTTTGGGATGGTAAGCGGTGCCTTTTGACCTCCAAACATGGTGTGTATTATGGCATCCAAAGAGTTCAGCTTTGGTCTCATCTGGCCAGACTGCATTCTGTCAGTATTTCACAGGCTTATTTTCTTTAGCAATGTAGTCTTCTGTGGTGAGCATGCATACAGGCCATGATAGTCAAGTGCATTATTTATTGTTTTCTTTGAAACAATTGTACCTGCTGATTCCAGGTCATTGTATAGCTCTCCACAAGTGGTCCTTGGCTCTTGGACAACTCTTCTAATTATGCTTTTTAATTTATGGCCCCAACAGTGCTCACTGCAACCTTCACTAGTTTAGAAATTCTTCTGTAATCAATGGCGTCAGTGTGTTTTGCAACAATAAGGCTGCAAAGGTTTTGAGAGAGCTCACTGGATTTACCCATCATGACATGTTGGCATCTTGGTAATGAGACAACGTCTTTTAGGTCATCAGCTGGGATTGAACTAGCTAACATTAATTTGAACTAAGTGGCAGGATTGTTTTCCAACTCTAAGATAAGCTTCCATGCTTTTTTTTTTTTTATACCTTTCTTTCTTCATGTACTCAAAACCTTTTCTACTGTTTCATTTCTCATTATTACACTTTATGGACATCTATGGTTTCATTTCTTTTTATGTATAAAATGGATAGGTTGTTACTGACATCTGGTGAGAATTTCATGTCAATAACCCCTTTAGATATACATTTACTTAGAAAATGAAAACTGATTTGTGTTCAACACTTCTTTTACCTACTGTAACATTACATGGTCAAAAACCAAGAGGAGTGTCATGTGCAAAGCAAAAGGAAGGAGGGATTCCCTTGAGCCACTTTGGGAGTAGACAACTGCTATGAGGAGTTAGGAAACACACTGCACTACTCGCACAAGAAAAACAAAAACGTGGTTTCCTGTTAAAGGACATGTCTCTGCACAGAAAATAACTCACATCCTCATGAGCAAGAGGAGGAAATGTGGTAACGTCTTCATGACAAAGAAAAAATGTCTTGCCGACAGAGCAAAAATGAGAAAAAAAAAAAAAAAAAAAAAAAAAACAACCAAATGAAGCTTGCTTTTCAGTGTTAGTAAGACAGTTCTGAGTATGTGCATTTACCATTTGCAGGTCATCAATGCGAGCATTCACCCCAGCAAGCATCTCTTTCCTCTCCTGTGGGGTTTCTGGACATGGGTACAGTGTCGCTCTGAATCTAGAAACACATTAATAAGTAAGCAAAAAAATCTATTGGTCAACGACACTTCATTAACAGTAGAAATGCAAATTCACCTACCCCTCACAGATTTTCTTCACTCGATTCTTCAGCTGGTCTCCTTGGAAAAATATGATGAAGACAGATTTGTGGACTTGATCACCCTGTGGAAACATCACCAAGTTAAGTTAGAAAACACAAACATCTCAACTACTTTCACAATGGTTTCATTTGTGAGCAGCACTTACCGTAGTTGGGTCTTCCAAAGGATCTTCAATATCTGCCTGTCTCAGGAACACATTACCTCTGCAAACTCTCCATAGCATCCTCTCAAAGTTGGGAATCCGCTCCCTGCCAATGACTCCAGCAACAAATCTATAGAATATGTTAGAAAGATAAATAAAGGAATATAAATACCCTCTGATTAACTTCAAAGACAAGTAAGCTAAAACAATCACTTTTGGGTGCGGACTGAAGGAATTCCAAACTGAAGATAAATTTTGCATGGATTTCTGCTTTAGGATGCCTTGGATGCCCGACTACGAGGGGCAATCAGAGCTCATCTGTGGGAGGTATTTAAATTGTGCAGTACTACAAAACAGACTCACCCTAGCCTGAGTGGAGCCACTCTAACGGGCTCATTTGGGTCCAGGAGAATGGATGACTCCTCAAGTAAACTGGGATCCTCCATCTACAGGACAGACAACAAATCATTAGTAACAATAGCAACATCATTTCTCTACAGTGTACACACACACACACACACACGAAAATTACCATGAAATGTCTCAAACTGCTTTTATTTACAGCAACGTTGACATTCAGATGGGAGCTTAATAATAAAAAAAAAAAGTTTCTCACTCCAGTTAATGGCTGAACATCTTTTTATCTGGCTTAATGATTCACCTTCATCAAAGCTCATAATAACTTGTCAAAGATGACCTAACGTGGTAAGTCAACAGCCAGGTTTGCTTTCAAAGGCAGTGAAGTGGAATAGGTGCTGGCCAAAGGTGAAAAAGCAAGGATTAAGTCTGGCAAATGAACAAAGTGCCTGGAATGAAATCAGTGTCAAGTACTAAACAGCAGGGCGTTTAATGTACAGGAACTACTGTGAATAACCTGTGTAAATGGGTCAGCGTGTGAACAGCCATAAAAAAACATGAGTGCAAACACTGCTTTACCAAAGCGTCAATAACAGCAATAAGTGCTTCCGTCTGTATGAAACAAAGACCATACCAGGCAGCCTATCAGCAGACTGTAAAGCCATCAATGACTTCCCAATTGCCACAATAAATACATTTCTAAAAGTTAAGTATTGTTTTCACTATAGCCTGTTCTTGGATACAAAACAAAAGCCATTTAACAATTTGCTTCTTCCGATGTTACTAGTTAAATATTTGCTTCTTTTTGATTTACAGTTAGAGATTGTAAATGTAAAAGTCACAATTCCCTTTCTGGCTATGGCAGTGTTATACCGACAGGCTGGAGTGCTGCTGTTTTATAGGCCTGTGTGCAGTTAAGCTGACCTCATCAAAAAATTGTTGTGTGCGACGCAGAATGTGCTTGAGCTCGGTCAGTTCCAGGAAGTTCTTCTTTAGCGCTTCTTGGTTGGTGTTTATTTCCTTCAGTTCATTCTCCAGTTTCTCAAATGTGGCCTATGGAGAAACAATGAGAGGGATTATGAGCTGACTGAAGTAGCAGATGACAGCACTTACAGTTATCTTTAAGAAACAAAAATCACCTCCAAGTCAATCATGTCCCTTGGAAAAGGAACTTCTGGGTTCTCTCCTGTATCGAGTATTGGGATGTTAGCCTTCTTAATTTCTTTTTCCACAAACCCTATGAGAGAAATGTAAAAGAAGGTTTTCAGAAGGTGTTTAAAAAAAAGGGATACAAGTGAATGGTAAAGCTTGGATAATGAACTACCATCTTCATATAACTGTATTTTAATACTTTAAGGGGTGGAAACTTAACTAATGCAGTTTGGTATAGAAAAATGAACATTTAAGAGCGCTCACTGAGTTTACGATCCATCTCCTCACATCGTCGTACTTCATTGACAAACTTTCTCTGGAACACATTCACATCAGGATTCAGCTGCAAAGGAAAAACACACAAGGTTCAACGAATATAAACAATTCAATTAAAAGAATATAACCAATAGCTGCCATAATGCAGGTTTTTGTAAACACTATTTAGACTTAATATATTCTGTTAAGTCTAAACTCTGTAATGGGTATAGTTTCTTAAACTAATGGAAACAATTTGATGATACAAGACATGCTGATGCACAGAGCTTCTGTGTTACTGTCCATCTTACGCTCAAGAACAGCTGCTTCCCTCAGGACTTGTCAGGAATGGCTTTTCTCATGCACGTATGAGGGTCAGCTGTGAGCACATGATGCAGAAGGCATCCACTCTCTCAATAGTGCCACTAATGATGTTGTTTACGTCACCACATGCATGACCGTAATAATTAATTAATGCGACTTTCAGATAGTAGAAGATAATAAAAAGTAATGCTTTAGAAGTTTGATAAAAAAAACAGACTTACGTCACGAAACTGGACCATCCCAATCTCTCCCAGTTCACTGACACAACAGTAGGCAGCTTCCGACTGGAGGAAGAGCTGAGCCAGCGTCATCTCTTCACTTCTGAAGAGCTCTCCCATGTTGCTTCAAGATGTGAGCACTCAGCACCCGTGAATCCACAAATCACCTCAACAAATATAAAAGATTAGAGAACGCTAAAGCAAAAAAGAAAAAAAAATGTAGTGGACCTTAACAGTTCTACATTCTGCACTTTTCTCTGTCACTAATGAGGAAGCCTTTAACAGTGAGGTGTTAGTTTAACACCAGTGTACCAAGTTTTTTTTTTTTTTTTTTTAAGAAAGAAGAAATAAAAAAGCCAGGCCTCATGCTGATCTCATGATCAGTGCAAGAATGCACTTATGGTCAAAGAGTTTGATCTGCGCTACTGCAACACAATAAGAGGACCTCATTTCTGCTGTAAATATAAAACACAGGTTAAGAGCCAAGGCCATGAGAAAGCACCTCTTAAAGAGCGTTTAGCTAAAACTAAAAGGTATAGATTTTATGCTTTGCAGCTAAGCAGTATAATAACCCCCTGCTGTAAAAAACTACCACACAAGGCTTATGTTTGGATTAAAGGGGAGCATGTGACCTGTAGCTGTAGTAAGCTTCACCGACTACAAGACCTCCATCACCACTGAGTGTACATGTAACTAAAGCAGGTTTGGAAGCATAAGCAACTACACCTTTTAAACGCCTTGCATTTAGCTCAATAATTAACAGCAGAGGCGTTCAAACACGTCAGACAGGTGGTACAATCACCTGACTACAGAGGCTTCACCCATTACAGCCAAACAAGTCAGAAAGCCTACAAGTAGCTGCTTAGAATAAACAAAACCTTTGTCATTTTTACAAGGTATTGATCCAGCAACACTACCATAACAGAAGAGCCAATTAGCGATGGTGGAGCAATGCAAACACGAGCTGACAGCAGTGCTTAGAGTAGCCAGCGTTACTGGTTAGAGGCGAACTTTAACATTAGTGCAACGACATGCTATTTTACTATTATCTACTGAAATCGGGCTGTGTTAACTTGGATAACAATTAGCCGAATGAGCAGCCGAGCTAACGCTAATTTGGCACACCTGTTGTTCAGCAATTAGCTTCACTTACTTAGCCCACAAATTAATACATTAGTGTTAGCGTAATATTAACAAAATTGCTTATAACCTTACAAATAGTTGTCCTTACTGTTTACGTGGAGATCGTCTCTTCCTTTTTATCTTACAGTTGCCTCTTTGCTGTTTGTTGTGGACTGCTCGGCCGTTTGACAGGGTTACTCCTCGACTTTCGAAGCGGAAGTGTCCCGGAAACCTATGACGATCGACGACGCCGACGAACCATAACCACGTGATCACTATACAACCACCAGGACTTCGTTCTTAAATCTTTTTAAAACTTTTATTTTGAATGCCCTCGCCGGAAGTATTGACTTTTTTTGACAAATTCCAAAATATATGAATTGAGAGTACACAATTATAATACAAAAAAATGATAGCCTGCACATCAAGAAAACCAAAAGACAGACTTACTTTACAAACGTGTAACAGAGACATCAAATGACATAGAAATTATGACATAATCCTTAAACCCACTCAGATTTTATTCATCACACTATGGTGGATTTCTCCATAATATTTCTACAGAATTTTGAACTGTAGACCTATTTAGAATATGTATATGTATATATAACCATGAATAACCATTAAAACTGTTAAACACTGTCCCCATTTTTGTATAATTATCTATTTCAGGATCAATCAACACTCATTCCAAACTAGTATATACATTCAAAGCAATGACAAGAATTCTTGCATGTGTCAGCTCTGTTTTCCACACTCTGAAAAGCCAGTGGCCCCCACCCCCACCCCTGTCCCAACCCTTCTTTTGAGCTCTCTTTTAATCTAAATTCTAAATGAATTAAATGGATAAATGGATTCTGTTTTATTGTTGCATTATTTTTTTTTATATTCCGGGCATTTGTGCTTGTAGATAGCCACATAATGTACTCACATTTATACACATTACACATCATTTTTCTCTTCTTACTGACTGCTCACATTGTTTTTAAGTCACACTGTAACTATCCATTCTTCTTCTATATGCTATAAGCACTTTATCTACCTCTCATTCATGGGCAATTTAGAATCACCTATTAACATAACATGCATGTTTTTGTACTGTGTGAAGAAGCTGTAAACCCACACTAGGTACTCACAGTTTTTTCTTTGTTTGTTTGTTGTTGTTGTTTTCCAGGATAAAATCTATAAGTTCTTCAACCCCATTGAGTTTGTTTGGAATGGTTTTGTTTGTTTGTTTGTTTTGTTTTGTTTTTTCTTGTGGCAAAGACCTAATTGTTTTTCAGTCAATGTCCTTAACCAAGTTAACCGAGCAAGAGATGGATGGATGAACAGACATCAGAACCCCTGTAAAGAAGTAATTTTGGCATTCATGCCTTGCAGAAGTATCAATCTGCTGTTGTCTGTTTTAATACATTGTTGTTTAGTAAGGCCTCCATCACAACTGCATCTGTTCTAAAAGAGCTTCTTAGGAGAGACATTTTTTCATTTTTTATCAATACATATTATTGTTTTTTAAAGATATATTTTCCATTTATCATAAAAAAAAGTTACAGTAAATGAACATTTAGGAAGAATGTAATTTAATTTCGCTGCCTAAACAAGACCAAAATTGTTGTAATTGATGATTTTAAAGAGGTTCAGAAGAAGTTGCACCCGCCTTTGTGAACAGAGAGAAAGTATCTGATGGGGTACCAAGAGAGGAACTGCGGTGTTGCATGGGGAAGTCTATATTGATGTGGTGAGCTGTGTGGTAGGAGTGGCAGATGGATTCAAATTGTATAGATTTTAGACATTGTGATCTTTAGTGATAGTAGAGATCAATCGGAAGACAGCCTGGAGAGGTGGAGCCATACTCTGGAGACAAGAAGAATTTAAGTCATTATAGAATAGTAATATAGAATACATGTGTGTGAATGAGAGGAAGGCAGGTCTAATGATGAACCTACAATGGGTAAAGGTAGTGAAGGTTGAAGAGTTTAAGTACCTTTTGCAATATATACATTTATATGTGTACAAAATATATTCAGCAATATATAACACAAGCAGAAAATGAAAGGGGAAAGGTTCATTTGCATGAACTTCATCCTGACCTCTGGTGGTCAAAGAGACTCTAAATCTCAGCTCTTACTTTGAACAAACCAACCGGAAGTACTACTGCGCTATTGCACGTGAAATGACAACAGTAGCGTACAACTGTTGTTCCTCCCGGAGACCACTGGAGGGAAGTGAAAGTGAACCACGTTAGTAAATGATTATCTTAATAGTTAAGTTAATAGTATTTGTGTTTTTTTTTTGATTAAATATAACGTTTAGGACCACGTTTAAGTCGCCAAAACTGTCAAAAAAAAGTCCTCTAATTTACGCAAGTCGAAAGCACCACACGAGCCTCGTTCGGTTCTTGTTTAAGTGAGTTTCCATTATAATAAAAGTCTCAGGCGGTAAGTGAAACAATTAAGGAAACACACATACACCAACATAAAGAAAGTATTCTGTTTTCTAGAGCAATGAAGAAATACTACTACTCCTACTACTACTACTACTACTACTAATACTACTACTAATAATAATAATAGTAGTAGTAGGAGTAGTATTAAAGAAGAAGTAGTATAAATATACGATAAATGCTATGATATTATTTTCCATTTGGCTCGACATGGTATCTATATTCTGAAAAGAAATCAAACAATTTCGCTTTACAATTATTTTGAATGACTAATACTCTTTATATCACCACTATCAGTTATTGATACAGTTTCTAATAATGCTATCTTCAAATGATCAGTTGACACAATGGTAACTACTTGAATAACGTTAGGACAACTCTCAGTGTGATCAGTGCTTGTTGGGGATATCTAAGTCTGCCCTAAGGACAAAAGGAGACCGCTTATGGGACTGTGGCTTGCAATATATGGAACTTACTGGGAGTGAAGTAGTCTAAGTTAATAATGAGAGTGTGCAGGCTTGTTTACATTTAGTTTTATCTGTTTATACCATTTAAATAGTTGTATCTTAAGTTTTTCCTAAATTGCATTTTTGTTTTTGAAGCACTTCTGTTCTTGAAAAAATTCTATATAAGCTTTACTTACTTACTCTGTTCAGTGTAGCTGTGATTTAAAACTCTTTCAACTGTGTCACATTTCCCCGTGTTGACCAAATGTTTCTTTTTTTGTGATATCACACCTAGTGGCACTCACCTTTCCTTTTTCCCTGAGAGCACTGTTATGTCACTGCAAGAGGTGGAGTCTGGAAGTTCTGCCTTGTACTTGGGGACAGAATAGGGTGGAGCCGCAGCAGCAGGGGGAGCTATGGGTGGAGGCTGGGTGTGAGAAGGGAAATCTGTGACTGGGTGCTTTCACAGGGAGCAGAGGCATTTGACTCAGGGTACACATGCTTGAGCTGTGAGAGGCCCTACTCCCCTTGGCTGGCTGGCATCCCGGAGCAGAGGCAGAGAGAGACAGAGAAAGTTGAATGCGAAAGACTGAGGGTGAAGAGAATTTTAACTGTAAAGCAAACTACAAAGAGGGAAACAAGTGGTAAAGAAAGTTGTCTAAGCGGTAGGAAAGAGAATAAGGGACTAAGTTGAGTTCAGCGTGGCTCCTCTAGATTATTTTTCACCAGGGTATTTTTATCTGTAGTGAGCGTGCAAGCAGTTTGTATTTGGAATTGAGAGCAATGGCTGATACAGGTGTCAAGAAGGAGCATGGAGCCCTTGCAGAAGTGACTTACGATGATGAAGAGGTCGCTCTGGTGGGTGCCGCCACAGAGCCGGCAGTAGATGACGATGATCCAGCTGAGGCGACCGATCCGGTGCTGGCAACTGGCTCGGGGGGGAAGAGTGAAGCGCAGATGAATGGGGTCATGATTCTGTCTCTGCTCGACAAGATTATCGGGGTGGTAGACCAGATCCAGCAGACCCAGAATGGGCTGGAGGCCCGGCAAGAAGGCATGGAGAAGTCAGTGTCAACCATCCAAGGGGAGCTGTCTAAGTTGTCCAAGAATCACATCGACACCGCCAACACTGTCAACAAAATGCTGGAGAAGGTACGCAAGGTCAGCGTCAACGTCAAGACAGTACGCAGCAACCTCGAGAAGCAGGCGGGCCAGATCAAGAAGCTGGAGAGCAACGAGTCTGAGCTGCTCAAGAGACGCAACTTCAAAGTCCTCATCTATCAGGTGAAATGGCATCTATGTGTGTAGGTCATAAAGTAATGAAAATTAAATGATTAATCTATTAGATCTGGCTGTTATAAATATAAATATGTACTTGTTAGAGATGTGTTGCATTTCCCACATCACAAACAAAGGTTGGGAAGAAGTGTGAAATTCACTTGAAAGGCTCTCAGAACTACCTTTAGACCTCATCTCACCAGAGGGAGAGAGACTCACACTGCAGCATGAGTTGACCCTTGTTGGGAAAATGAAAAGCGGACTAACAGTTTTTTTGGGGGATGCAGGATGGCTCGCTCTGTGGTTTCCATGACATAAATGTCTGAATCACTTTTTCCTAAACCCTAAATCAGGCTGTGATGTTTACCAACTATTCATCAGCTTTGCTTTCCACTACTTAGAAGCCGTTGAGTAGTCAGAGGTGCATTTGTCCTTCCACAAGTGAAGGGAAAGCCAGTAGCTGCCATGGAAAATAAAAACAGGTAGTGACCTCTCACACTCCATGCGATTATCCAGTGAAACCATATAAAGATGAGTGGGTGTAAACAAAAATATAAGGCCCATGAAATATGGCATGAAGGGCTACTTGAGACAGAACCAACGCCCCACCCCTGAGTGCCCAGCAGACGCATAGTTGGCAGGCTGCTCCCATGTAAGATGAAGATGTCGTTTTTATTGTGAAGATTTCCCAGAAGAGCAGCACACTTAACATTCATGCATTCACGCTGTACAAGTTCACACTTGACCACATAAGTGGTTGAGTGTGAGCACTGGGCCAGGCTCAGTTTTATTTCACGTGGCAAGTGTCAGAAAATATGACATGTGACACTGACCAATTCTTTTTTAGCAAGGCATTTTCTTGTGCTCTTGTACTGGAATAAATCTCATGACAGCATAAGAAAATTGATTCAGCAGCAGTCACTTTATGCACACAACACCAGAGCATCTGCTTAAAAAACATTAGTAATAGTGAATCTGAGGGCTGCAAGCCTCGCGTGAGTAGAGCTTACTTCAGGCTCTATATTGGCAGGCACAACGTTTTCACATCAGCCTCCCGGGATGTCCACTGTGGGAGCAGGTTACACTACTGGCATCTTGCAGAAATCCAATCATAGATCCTAGACCTTTAAATTACACTGCAAAGCAGGTGCCTCCTGCTGTTTTTGACACTACATGTTGTACTTCAAGCCAGTGTGTAAATTTGGTTGTCTATGTTGCAGGTTCTTTATTTAAATATGTTTGTAAATGTGCAGTTTTCTTTTAAGAAGCTACTAAACTTTTCAAATCAGATTTAAGTAATTTATTTTTGTTTACTTATGATTGCAGACAGAGCATGAATCACCTCTTGCTATTTTCTCACCTGTGACGCACTTATCGCTGGCTGCACTTGATCGTTGTGATATTTTCAAAGCAGTTGTAGGAGCTGGTGATCCCATGTTGCAGTAGCTGTTTTGGGCTCACGCAGTCTATTTATTGCCAGTGAATGGTTGCACTGTGTCCAGTTTAATTGACTGACAGATATTGGCAGCAGTGCAAATTTAAAGCTGGCTTGCAGTCAAGTTTCACCACTTTCCACCATCTCTATGTGTGTTAATGTGTTAGAGTGGGAAAAGTTTAAGATTAGAACTAGGTTAAGGATGAGGTAAGGATTACTGTAAACTATGTAGAGGTTAAGTTAGGTATCTGTGGAATTAGTGTCAGGTAGTGTACCAGCGGGTGAGTGTGTGTAAGTGTTGGTGTGTGTGCGTCTGTGCCAATATCCTCGCTAATGTTGGCTTTCAACACTGTCAGTGAAGGCAGAACGTGAATGAGATAAATGAAACTTTTTCAATGTAGGATTTTGTACTTTACTTACTTGCATTAACTACAGGTTATTTTTCTTGTGTCTGTTTTTGCTGTTTGTTATGCGAATAGCCACATAGTCTAGGAGTTCTTGGCCCAAAAGGCTTTGACAGGGATGCTTTAAAATTAAACCTGCAAAGGCGATAGCTTTCAGGATACCCTGGTAACAGAAGGGCGTGACGGTGAAACCAGAGGGGTGGGGAAGCATTCAGCTCTTTACTTGATTAAAGAGCTCAGTGCTTCCTGCTTGGGTTGGCTGTCGTTAAGGAAGTAGAGCTGGTCATCTACTAATTAAAAGGTTGGTGGTTTGATCTCTGGCTGCTCAAGTCTGCATGCCCAAGTATCCTTGTGCATGATACCGAGCCCAAAGTTATAAAGGTACAATATTGCATATCACAAATATTTAATAATAAATATAATAATAAAGTATTTAGGCCTAAATATATTTCTGTTGATGAAGTTTCTTGTAACAACACACCTGAGCAGATAAATCACAAAAAGTCCTCATTAACTCCAGAATTGCTCCAATTAAAAAACAACCCTTTCTTTTTTTAGTTTACAATTTAAACTATATCCCATGGACAACTTATGCACAATTCTGAGGTTGTTTTAGATCCATGTCTGTGAGGGTCTTCCTTTTCTCTCAGCACAAGACACGCCTGGTTAATCTGTAGGCTTCAGATGACCAGTGTTTTCAATGAGCCTCTGTCTTTAACACCCTTTCTGACTGTTGCGTTCGGTATTGCTGCCATTTGTGGATCGCATGTCATATCAAGAGGAGCAACTGTGAGCCCAGGTTTATTTCCTCATCCCCATTAATCTCATGCAGCAGGCATTTGACTATTTTAGCGCTTCCAACCAAGGCACACTTCCTGTTTTTTGTTTGCTGATTGCAGTAGCTGTCAGAGGAAATAAACCCAGAGCCAAGAGATAATTTGATAAATCTAGACTGCAGCTTCTTAATTAAAGCTTTATGGTAGCTGTAATGTTAGAGCTGTAAATATTCTAAATTTTTTGGTGGATTTTTTGGTGGATTCCAGTAATGATGGAGTTGTACTTTTTGAAACACAAAAAGAAATTAGCCTTTCCCAAGCATGATTACTAACAAAGAGCTTTCTTAGCTTCCTGCTTTTTTCCCAGCTCTATGACAATTATAAAAGATTGGTCATAACCAAACAGAGCAGGCACAGCTATGTCAGTTTTATAGGCCTTTAGTTAGCTTAGTCAAGGGTGTGTAGTTTATTTTACCAAGGGACCACATAAGAACTTAAACTGAACTTAGTTCTACTAAGTTTGGGCCCCTTGGGAAATTGCCCACTCCTGGCTTAAACAGTTGCTTTTCAAAACCCTTAAAAGGTCCTACCACTGACTTAGCCCTACACTATGTCCCATATGGTCTGCCTAGGCAATACTAGAGGACTAGTATCAAAGACGGGGTCCTGCTGTGTCAACTTCAGTGGATTTAGTGTCATTTGAGGGAAAAGAATAATTAGCATATCTACATGCACAGCAAACCAATCATTATTAATGAGTGATCTGGCATCTATCAAGTAAATACAGTTTAATGTTAATGGAATGGACCGATCATGCATATGTGCATGGTCACTCCCAAAGATTGACCCAGGAAAACATGACATGTACTAGTAGGTATCCAACATTTTGCAAAGTTTTACTTTAAATGTGAAAAGTAACCATGAATTTTAAATTGCTGTAATTCAACCAATCAGATCTCTCTGTGTTTTGTAATGCTCATTATCTATGTAATTATGTGGATTAATCTAGTTTATGCAATATGATATGGGTATGTCAGTTAGAGTGTGAGACAGTACTGCTGTGTGTCTGGAATTAGGGTGTGTTTGGCTGCAGCTCAAGGACAGTGATATCCATGTGGTCAACTCTATCAGGGAGATGTAAGCTTCTCGGTTACAGGCTGCTTATTCCACACTAGCCCCACAGACCTTCCAGAGCTCAAATCGCAGCCAACAAGCCTCACCACCAGCATAAGCCTACTTTTCTCTTATAGCTTTTCACCGTGCCCAGACTGTTTAATAACCCAGTTCAATTTACTCCAAACATAGCGATTCAACCAAAGCTCTTTTGCTCTTTCAGCTCAATAAATCTTTGTTTCTAGGTAGAAAGTGGGTCTCAGGCTCATTAAATACAGGGGTGTTGTGAAGTACTTAGCAGACTCTTGCAGGCAATAGCAACAAACTCTACCAAAAAGCACTCAACCGGCAGCACAAAGTTAGTGTTGTGATTCATCCTGCTGGCATCTCTCTGCCCCTCCTGCCAGCATACTCACTTGTTCTCCTCCCTCCTCAGTTTCTCTCCCTTATCACTCCCCATCAACTCTGCATTAGCCCTTTTTACTCCCACTCAGAATTCTAATCCACATTTAAACGTCATTCACTCCTCTCAGCCTCTCTTCGGTTGGTCTTTCTGTACTCCTCTACCCTGAAAGATCCTGCCGACTCTACGTTTAAGTGTTACAACTTAGTTACAAAGATGAACTCTGTGTGGATACGGTATTCAAAATGCTCATGTTGGTAGTTTCCCTTTTGTGACTTCATGGAGTCAAAATGCTCTTGCTTTAAGCTTTTCTTTGCCAAATTTGGATGTACTCCTCTAATCGCTCTCTCTTTCCTTCTCTCACATATTTCGTTGACAACAGGGAACAACTGAGCTCAACCCAATGAGTAACAGTAGCCCTTTTTCATTCTGTTTGGAACTCCTTTTTATTTTTGAGCGTCCTAAGCCATTATCCTTTTGCGGCAAAAATACTGCTTTGTCATCTGTGTATCAGCTGCCGTCCTCTGCTATTGTTCGGGTTGTCTTTCTGTTTTCTTTGCTTTGGTTTATTTTGCAGGAAACAACATAAATATACAAGATTGTGTTGAAAAAGACAGTTATTTAGAACAGTTAAGACTGGCTAAGGACCAGAGGTTGGGTAGGATAATTGGATAAATGTTTGACAAACAAGCATACAGGACATTTCCTCTCTGATCTACTTTTTCAGATCAAGTGTACAGCACGGTGTAGTTTCACCAGAAGCTGAGGTTGAATTTGCTGAGAGTGTTACTCTATCCCTTCCTGTGCTTCTCACGCTAAAGTATACAGTTTATACAGCAGAAAGAGGACCCCTTGCTACTTCAACACGTGAAAAC